ATCTTCCTGAATTTTTCCATTTTATTCTCCTCCATGTGACATAGCTCCTCCATCCTATAGTTATTTTCAATTCCCAAATATATTGACATATATTTGAAATACTACAATGTTGGCAGTATTCAATATATTAAAAAAATATATATATATAAAATGTTTTAAATATATTGAATACTGCCAACATTGTAGTATATTTGGGAAGAATATTTTTAAAATATACCGTATTTTTCGCTCCATAAGACGCACTTTTTTCCCCCCAAAAAAGGGGGGGAAATGTCAGTGCGTCTTATGGAGCGAATATAAAGCGTCCGGTCTGGTATTTTTGCGGCCACCATGTCAGAATACCGGGCCGGCCGCTCAGCTGTTCTCTCCTGCAGGGCCTTACCTGTTCCTCACTCCAGCGCTGCACAGTCTTCCCGCGCTGGCTTCTGTGACAGCCGGGTGCCCACTGCGCATGTGCTGCGCTTTGTGAATGATCCGGTGTCTTCTGGGACACATGAAAGGTCCCAGAAGGCGCCGGGCCATTCACAAAGCGCAGCGCTTCTCGCGCATGCGCAGTGGGCACCCGGCTGTCACAGAAGCCGGCCCGGGAAGAAGAGGGAAGGACAACTCCGCGGAAGTGGGAGCGGGTACCTGTCAAATTCAGGTACCTGCTCCCCCTCCCTCCCCAAAGGTCAGCAGTCTCTGGTCATCTCCTTTACTGTCTGCAGTCTCTGGTCATTCCCTGCACTGTCTGCAGTCTCTGGTCATTCCCTGCACTGTCTGCAATCTCTGGTCATTCCCTGCACTGTCTGCAATCTCTGGTCATTCCCTGCACTGTCCGCAGTCTCTGGTCATTCCCTGCACTGTCCGCAGTCTCTGGTCATTCCCTGCACTGGCCGCAGTCTCTGGTCATTCCCTGCACTGTCCGCAGTCTCTGGTCATTCCCTGCACTGGCCGCAGTCTCTGGTCACTCCCTGCACTGTGCGCAGTCTCTGGTCATTCCCTGTACTGTCCGCAGTCTCTGGTCATCCCCTGCACTGTGTCCGCAGTCTCTGGTCATCCCCTGCACTGTGTCCGCAGTCTCTGGTCATCTCCTGCACTGTGTTCGCAGTCTCTGGTCATCTCCTGCACTGTGTCTGCAGTCTCTGGTCATCCCCTGCACTGTGTCCGCAGTCTCTGGTCATCTCCTGCACTGTGTCCGCAGTCTCTGGTCATCTCCTGCACTGTGTCCGCAGTCTCTGGTCATCTCCTGCACTGTGTCCGCAGTCTCTGGTCATCTCCTGTACTGTGTCCGCAGTCTCTGGTCATCTCCTGCACTGTGTCCGCAGTCTCTGGTCATCCCCTGGACTGTGTCCGCAGTCTCTGGTCTTCCCCTGCACTGTGTCCGCAGTTTCTGGTCATCTCCTGTACTGTCTGCAGTCTCTGGTCATCTCCTGTACTATGTCCGCAGTCTCTGGTCATCTCCTGTACTGTATCTGCAGTCTCTGGTCACCTCCTGTACTGTGTCCGCAGTCTCTGGTCATCTCCTGTACTGTGTCCACAGTCTCTGGTCATCCCCTGTACTGTGTCTGCAGTCCATTGGTTCAGAATATTTTTTTTTCCTTGTTTTTCACCTCTAAAACCTAGGTGCGTCTTATGGAGCGAAAAATACGGTATTTAAAATATACTTTTCTTCCATGTGAGAAATCCCAAAATTTTCAAATGAGGTTCAAATGGTGTATGGCCAGCTTCGGTCTCTGTCCCATAACCCTTTGATGTTGCTTAATTTATAGCAGATCTGCTTTAAGAAGAGGTGGAATTTCTCAGCTTGACTTCTTTAGTACATTGAGGTTTCATTTTAAACCAATGCCCGCCCGACGTTGCCCTGAGCGCTTTCTTACATGCCGGTAATGCTGCTTGACAAGTTTTTTAAGAAAAAAAAATAGGTGCAGTTGCTTTGACACTATAAAATCTATAAAATTAGATTTTCAAGGAAATTGTGCAGAAAAAATAGAAGTCTGTACTGAGGACTACTTGATTTTCTCACATTAACTCTTTATTTGCCAGTGGCAGGACTTCAACCAAGAATTTTAATTTTATAGCTGTATGACTGTGGAGGTTCCCATATATCCAAGTCTTGGTATAGCTGGTAGTAGGTGGTCTCATGTCACTGGCCTTGTTCTGTCATGTTGAAGATGTTTTGGCGCTTATCCAACAGGCTTCCCTAGCTCAGGGCCAGGGACCCCAGCACTGATAGCCACACAAGATACGTAATCACCTTAATTCTGCCACTATAGAATGTGTTGACTATCCATGATAGGATGAAGCCTGAAGTGAAATCCCATCTCCTAGGACTCACTAACATTAAGGAGAGGTACAAAAGAAACATGAAATATAAAGTCTACACCTACTTCCATACCCATTCACCTACTCCTTCCTTCCATCCATTCCTTGCCACTCTACCAACCCCCATCCCCATTCACCGTACTGCTTATCCTCCCTTCTATCCATTCTCCTGCCGCTCCAACTACACCTATCCCTATTCATCCTTCTGCTTATCCTCACCTCCATCCCTTCCCTTTGCCACTCCACCTACCCCCATCCCCATTCACCATACTGCTTATCCCCTCTTCTATCCATGCCTCTGCTGCTCCACCTACCCCAATCTCCATCCACCCTACTGCTCATCCTCTCTTCCATCCAATCCTCTGCCGCTCCACCTACCCCCATCCCCATTTACCCTACTGCTTATCCTCCCTTCCATCCATTCTCCTGCCGTTCCACCTACCCCAATCCACATTCACCCTTGTGCTTATGCCCTCTTCTATTCATTCCTCTGCTGCTCTACCTAACCCCTTCTCCATTCACCCTACTGCTTATCCTCCCTTTTGTCCATTCCTCTGCCACTCCACGTTCCCCCATCCCCATTCACCCTGCTGCTTATCCCCTCTTCTATCCATGCCTCTGCCGCTCCACCTACCCCAATCCCCATCCACCCTACTGCTCATCCTCTCTTCCATCCGTTCCTCTGCTGCTCCACCTACCCCCATCCTCATTTACCCTACTGCTTATCCTCCCTTTCATCCATTCTCTTGCCATTCCACCTACCCCAATCCCCATTCACCCTTCTGCTTATGCCCTCTTCTATTCATTCCTCTGCTGCTCTACCTAACCCCTTCTCCATTCACCCTACTGCTTATCCTCCCTTTTGTCCATTTCTCTGCCACTCCACCTACCCCCATCCCCATTCACCCTACTGCTTATCCTCCCTTCCATCCATTCCTCTGCCGCTCCACCTACCCCAATCCCCATTCACCCTTCTTCTTATCCTCCCTTCCATCCATTCTTCTGCCGCTCCACCTACCTGCATCCTTCTTCACCCTATTGCTCATCCTACCTTCCATCCATTCATCTTCCACTCCACCTACCCCCATCCCCATTCACCCTTCTGCTCATCCTACCTTCCATCCAATCCCCTCCCACTTCACCTTCCTCCATCCCCATTCACCCTTCTGCTCATCCTGCCTTCCATCCTTTCCTCTGCTGCTCCACCTACCCCCATCCTCTATCACCCTACTGCTTATCCTCCCTTCCATCCATTCCTCTGCCGCTCCACCTACCTCCATCCCCATTCACCCTTCTGCTCATCCTACCTTCCATTCAATCCCCTCCCACTCCATGTGTCCAGCCAAAGCTTCTACAAATAAGGTTCATCATCACTATAATCATCCTAAAATGTCGAATGATTTTCTTTTGGTCAGGAAGCAATTCAACTCCAACTGTTACCTGCAATGAGGGGATTCTAAATATATTTTTACCAAAATGTTGGCTGGAAGAAAATGGTTTTAACGTGTCAACTGTACGGCTGAAACGTTTCGACTGCCTGGCAGCAAAAGAGATTGTGGATAATACGGCCCAGATGACCTTCCATACACCGTTGGCAATTAATTACTGCAACACCACTGCAGAGGTAAGTCTAGACCCATCAGATAGGCTGCCCATCGGAAAGCATTGGGTTTTGAATGGAAATAATGATGTTTAATTATAGCAATATTTTAGGTTTAAAATGTATTAGGTGAAGTACAGACAGATGCAGATGCCTTCTGGTCGAGCTCTTGGGGGAAAAAAGGGCTTGGCTCTTGGGACGAATCTTCCCTGGTGATCACTATTTTGTCCCTTTAAGAAAGCCAGCACCTGCTAAGGTCCCCTCTCCATAGGTACAAACATGCATGCTTTACAAATGCAATCCTACGTGTATGTTTATGGCAATTGCTGGGCGTCCAGATTCTAGAAACAGACCAAAGCTAAGACATCCAGTGCAGGAAATATAGGAACATTGTTGGGGATGCCATATTCCATGAAACAGACAGTCTGTAATTTGTTCCAAAACTAAAGCTGGCCATAGAGGGTTAAGTTTTTTTTTTTCATTAAGCCAACAGATTCCTCCAGCCACACAAATGAGGTGGAGGAATCCCCCCTGTAGGTGTAACGGAACCGGACCCCGACTGCACTTGGGTATTTCCGTTAGGATACCGCTTCCCTGTCCGTACACCGACCACAGACACCACAGCAGACCATACAAGACTAGACGACACCAGTCTTGAAGTAAAACCGGGAAATAGACTACTTTATTTTAACACAGATACAAGATATATACATTCAAGGGAACAATCCCCCCTCCCTGCATAATGACACAGGGCGGGCAATCTACATTTAGTAACAAGAGACACACCAGCAGACAGTCCCATTAGGAGGGAGGGCTGCTGGAGATACCCCCCACCAAGCCAATACACATAAACACATACATCCCATAATAGTTTGCTCCCAAGCAAGACACACAATAGAACAATGGGATGCAACCGCATGGCATTAAACAATCAACAACCCCCCACCCCAATATTAGGACACATCACCCTGTACCCCTAACAGGTACAGGGTGACTTACACATAATAGGGATATGAGGAGCTGAGACAGGGGTCTCCCCACCTCTGCAAAGTGCGCTGTGTTCCATGGGCCCCCCACCCAAAGTGACTCCCGTGGACGTGGACGTGGTATACTTGGACAGAGGGGTGGTGGTGGACGTGGTATACTTGGACAGAGGGGTGGCTGTGGACGTGGTATACTTGGACAGAGGGGTGGCTGTGGACGTGGTATACTTGGACAGAGGGGTGGCTGTGGACGTGGTATACTTGGACAGATGGGGGTGGACGTGGTATACTTGGACAGAGGGGTGGCTGTGGATGTGGTATACATGGACAGGGGGTGGCGGTGGACGTGGTATACTTGGTTTAACGGCAAATGCTGGGTGCAATAACTAAAAGCAAGTCATATACGTGCACACAATCAACATGTAGTCATGCTGGTACCTTTTAATCAGCATTTAAACCGTTACATATTCTACGCATGTGAAAGACCATCTACCAAATGAATACCTGCCCCGGCACATCATAGCATTCACGCGGCACTTCAAGAAATAACAGAATCCAACTGCAATATTCTTGCACCGTCAAAACCTCCACTTTTATTATCACACAACACACAGGAGGATATATCTTATAGTCATCACAATCTGCATCATAACACACACCAATAATAATGTGAGCATTACAGCATGAAACAGACACATCATTTGACAGAGTCACAGCACAGAATTAATACATTACCAAAGCTATGATAGAAGCTGGAAGGAACAAATCCCATCGGAACCAAACTGCCCAGAGGGGAAGCCGTAAGCACGACCAATCAACAAACCCATATAGCCTTGGCAAAAATCCCAGCGTCAAAGCATCCCCTCACGCATGGAATGGCTTCCAATAATTGGTCTCGCTTAGACTTTCGGCTTTTAAACCATTTTTATGGAAGCTTTCCAATAGTGGGCGGGCGCCACACCCACCACAGGAGGAGCTAGCAGAAGGGTTCCGCGAGGATAACAGAGTCACGCTAAACCACCATATTGATCCCACATCGTTATCTGAAAAGTTACATTTTTGATTCTGATCTAAACTTCTTCTCATCTACCCAAAACTTAAAGATTTCTAACTTCTCAAGCAAGTAGATGTCTTTGAACAGGTTCTTATCTTCTAATGTGACATACTAGATGTCATAAACACGTTCAATTTCCATAAACAAGTTTTTATCTTGCTCTAAGCAGAATGTCTTGTGACTCGACTCTGTTCTTTTGGCTTAGAGAAATGACATCAGTCACTTCTCATGCCCCTGGCATTTGAGCAACAATGCTTTACTGTTAAAATTACCCAAGAAACAAAGGGTCCAAGGCCAACACATTTCATAGGCATTACACTTGGATTTTGCAAAAGCGTTTGAGAGAGTTCCTAACACACAGCTAATGTGTAAGTCTACGGGCTGGAAAAATCCAAATGTAAATGGATAGAAAACTGGCTAAAAGATGGTATTCAGAGAGTAGTGGTTAATGATTCATACTCTGAATGGTCTAGGGGTGTCAGTGGTGTACCACAAGGTTCAGTTATTAGTGGGGTACCCCAAAGATCAGTGTTATTAGTGGGGGACCCCAAGGATCAGTGTTATTAGTGGGGGACCCCAAGGTTGTGTTATTAGTGGGATACCCCAAAGATCAGTGTTATTAGTGGGGTACCCCAAGGATCAGTGTTATTAGTGGGGGACCCCAAGGATCAGTGTTATTAGTGGGGGACCCCAAGGTTGTGTTATTAGTGGGATACCCCAAAGATCAGTGTTGGGACCCTTACTTTTTAATCTATTTATAAGCGATATCGGGTCTGAGATTATAAATCCCATTTCAGTCTTTGCAGATGACACCAAGCTGTGCCGGGGAATAACGTCCTTACAGGATGTCTCCAACTTAGAAGCCGACCTCAATGCTCTGTGTGATTGGGGGACTATGGGGCCAATGAGGTTTAATGTTGATAAATGTAAGGTTATGCACTTGGGGGCTAAAAATATGCATACATCATACATACTAGGGGGGTACAACTGGGGAGGGGGGGTCAGCGGTGGAGAAGGATCTGGGGGGGGTCAATGGTGGAGAAGGATCTGGGGGGGGGGGGGTCAATGGTGGAGAAGGATCTGGGGGTTCTGGTAGATCACAAGCTTAATAATGGCAGCAATGCCAAGCTGCGGGTTCTAAAGTGAGCAAAATCCTCTCTTGTATTAAAAGAGGTATAGACTTCAGAGAGAGAGATATCATCCCCCCCCCCCGGTACAAATCATTAGTAAGACCTCATCTGGAATATGCAGTTCAGTTTTGGGCACCAATTCACAAAAAGAACATTGGGGAACTGGAGAAAGTACAGAGAAGGGCAACCAAACTGATAAGAGGCAGGGGAGGACTGACCATTTGGAAACTAGGGCACTGCCCGAGGGCCCTGGGTCAGTAGGGGGCCCCATGAGATGCCCCTGGTACCTTTTTCATAGGCTTTTTTGAGTTTGGGCAAGGATACAGGGGCACAGGCAGCACAAAACCTAAATACACCCCTGTGCTCACGTAATAACATGCGAGTGCTGCTCAGTCCTGAAATGCTGTAAACTCAGCCTGCGTGATGATGCGCCCCCTGGGGGTGGGGGGCGTAAACAGGAAACAGGCAGAATGAAAAAGTGTTGTTGTGTTGGCAGAGGACTGCCAGCGCTGGACCGAGAAGGAAGTCGGGGACAGTGCTGGATCGTGGAGATTTTTTTAGTGGGGATTTAAATATTTAAAAAAAACAAATCTTGATGTCGCAACTGAACTATTTGCTTTTAAAACCAGTTTTATGATTCTTTTTCTCTTTCCGCAGGTGAACGCGACCCAGGTCACATACATGAACACGCTGTATGGATTTTCCCAGACCTCTGTAAATCCAATACAACGAATCTTGGTTATGAATGTTTCCTGCACTGTCCCCATGAGTGCCGCCGCACAGCTTAGGATCACCATGAAGCCAGCACTCCGGTAATATTTATCATTCGTTAAGGTTCCTTTTTGCATGCCGAAATCCCAATTGGTCTGTCTCTACTGCTGAGATGTACAGTTGTGTTCAAAATAATAGCAGTCAGACATCACTAACCGGATCAATCACTGTATTTGGTAGAAATGATATTTCTACATGGCAAATAATTTCCTAGCAGGTGTAGTAGAGTCATAGAAATCCAACAGACCCAACAGTCATGACATGCATGCTGCTGATTCTGTGTCATTGAATCACTCATTGAAAGGGGAGTGTTCAAAATAATAGCCGTGTGGAGTTCTATTAGTGAGGTCATTCATTCTTTGATAAACAGGTGGCAATTATTGCCCTTATTTAAGGAAGGAAGGCAGCAAATGTTGGACATGCTAGTTACAGTGCATTTCTCTCTGAAATTCTGAGGAAAATGGGTCGTTCCAGACATTGTTCAGAAGAACAGCGTACCTTGATTAAAAAGTTGATTGGAGGGGAAAACATATAAAATAGAAAATGATCGGCTGCTCAGCTAAAATGATGGCAAATGCTTTAAAATGGCAACCAAAACCTGAAAGACGAGGAAGAAAGCGAAAAACTACCATTGGAATGGATAGAAGAATAGCCAAAATGGGGCGGACTCAGCCAACAATCAGCTCCAGGAAGATGAAAGAAGGTGTGACGTTCCCTGTGAGGACTCAGCCAACAATCAGCTCCAGGAAGATGAAAGAAGGTGTGACGTTCCCTGTGATGACTGTTACAATTAGAAGACGCCGATGTGAAGCCAAGCTATCTGCAAGAAGTCCCCGCAAAGTCCCACTGTTGGGAAAAAGACGTGTGCTGAAGAGGTTACAATCTGCCAAAGAGCACATTGACCGGCCTAAAGAGAAATGGCGCAACATTTTGTGGACTGATGAAAGTAAGATTGTTCTTTTTGGGTCTAGTGGGCGGAGACAGTTTGTCAGACGACCCCCAAACACTGAATTCAAGCCACAGTACACTGTGAAGACAGTGAAGCATGGTGGTGCAAGCATCATGATATGGGGATGTTTCTCATACTACGGTGTTGGGCCTATTTATCGCATACCAGGGATCATGGATCAGTTTGAAGACATCAGAATACCTGAAGAGGTCATGCTGCCTTATGCTGAAGAGGAAATGCCCTTGAAATGGGTGTTCCAACAAGACAACGACCCCAAACACACCAGTAAACGTGCAACATCTTGGTTCCAGACCAACAAGATGGACGTTATGGAGTGGCCAGCCCAATCCCCGGATCTTCATCCAATAGAAAACTTGTGGGGTGACATCAAAAATGCCGTTTCTGAGGCAAAACCAAGAAACAGAGAAGAACTGTGGAATGTGGTCCAATCATCCTGGGCTGGAATACCTGATCACAGGGGCCAGAAGTTGGGGGACTCCATGCAACACAGATGTACAGCAGTTCTCAGAAACAGTGCGACTACAACCAAATATTCATGAAGCCATTCAAAGGAAAGCAAAATCTTCAAACATTTCTCAGTTTATATAGTGAATGTTTGAGTTTGTAAAGAAGAATACAAACACGGCCATTTTTTTGAACTGTCTAATATTCACTTTTCTTCCATTTTTTTAGAGGAACAACACAAATTTGATGTATTTTTCTTCATGTTGTGATTTGGAATAGAATGTGTCGTGTTCCCAATGCATTTGTGTGGATGGAAATAAAAGCTATTAGAAGGATTTTCAGCTTTATTCACTTTTTTCAACACACTGCTATTATTTTGAACACAACTGTACATTCACTGGGCAGTCTGCTAGGTCCACCTTCCTAGTATCGGGTTGGACCCCCTTTTGTCTTCAGAACTGCCTTCATTCTTCGTGGCAAAGATTCAACAAGGTGTTGGAAACATTCCTCTGGGATTTTGGCCCATATTAACATAATATGAAAAAGTAACTCCAGTCCCCTTTGGGTTAGATCAATCAATCAATCAATCAATCAATCAATCAATCACTCAATCTTTTCCCTCTTCTTTTAATGCCACCCATCACCAAAAATGAAAGATAAGATGTGGGCTCACCAAATAGAAGTGACCCCCGTATTTAGAGTGCTCAACCTCAACTCTCCACACAGGACTCAGCGCTGTTTCGGTATAAAGCTCCTCAGATGACGTTGATTATTATTATAAATATACATTATTACAATATACGGGAGACAATACAATGACAATACAGTCCAATACAGAAGGGATAGGAGGGCCTGGCTCGTGGAGCTTACAATCGAAAGGAAGGGGAAGGTGGTACAGAAGGTGATAGCTGCGGGGGATGATCTGGTGAAGGTGACTCAAATACACTTCTTAGGCGGAGGTGGGGTAGGCATCCCTGAATAAATGAGTTTTCAAGGATCGCCTAAAGGCAGACAGGGTGGGGGCTGACCCAGATAAGTAGTATGTATCTCCAAGGCAGCGAAATCACATACAAATAACCAGATAAACACTTCTTATAGTGTAGGCATCTCCAAACACCATTGAATAGGCATACAAACCGCAGTTACAAACTTTTTTTTTTTTGTTAAAAGCTCATATCAGTATATTCACCAAGCCGGCAAAAACAGCATCAACTTTCTGTACGCGATGACATCACAGGCAGGCTCTAATGCGTTTCGTCATAAACAGACATCTTCTAGGGCTCCTCTGTTCACATCCAGAAACAAAACTCAGCATTTCATGGTGTGTCTTCCATCATGCAGACGCTGCCCGGCACAAGTTTCATTTACACTCACCGGCCACTTTAATAGGTACACCTTGCTACCCGGTATGGTCTTCTGCTGCTGTAGCCCATCTGCTTCAAGGTTAGACGTGTTGTGTGTTCAGAGATGGTATTCTGTATAGCTTGGTTGTAACAAGTGGTTATTGGAGTTACTGTTGCCTTTCTATCATCTCCAACCAGTCTGCCCTTCTCCTCCACCCTCTGACATCAACAAGGCGTTTCCCTCCACACAACTGCCACTCACTGGATATGTTCTCTTTTTCGGACCTTTCTCTGATCATCTGCATTCAGTGATGGTATTCTGCATAGCTTGGTGGTAAACGAGCGGTTATTGGAGTTACTGTTGCCTTTCTATCATCTCAAACAGTCTGCCCATTCTCTTCTGACATCAACAAGGCATTGTCCTCCACACAACTGCCACTCACTGGATATTTTTACCTTTTTTTTTTTACCTTTCTCTGATCGTTCTGCGCTCAGCGAAGGTATTCTGTATAGCTTGGTTGTAATGAGTGGTTATTGGAGTTACTGTTGCCTTTCTATCCTTTAGAACCAGTCTGCCCATTCTCCTCTGACCTCTGACCTCAACAAAGCATTTTCCTCCACATAACTGCCGCACACTGGATATTTTCTCTTTTTTGGACCATTCTCTGTAATCCCTAGAGATGGTTATGTGTAAAAATCCCAGTAGATCATCAGTTTTTGAAATCCTCAGACCAGCTCGTATGGCACCAACAACCATGCCACGTTCCAAGTCTCTTGAATCCCTTTCTTCCCCATTCTGATGCTCAGTTTGAACTTCAGCAAGTCATCTTCACCACGTCTAGATGCCTAAATGCATTGAGTTGCTGCCGTGTGATTGGCTGATTAGCAATTTGTGTTACCAAGCAATTGAGCAGGTGGACCTAATAAAGTGGCCAGTGAGTGTAATGTCTACTTCCTTTGGTTACCATATAGCAATTTGGACCTACAAAAGGAAGTCGAGGTGGGTGGTCTGGGTCGACTGCTCAACCCCGGAAAAAAAGGGGAGGCTTTTTTTCCCCCCAAAACTTGATGGATGTATTTGCTGCTCTTAACCCTTAAATGTTTCAAAAAGTCCTTCAAGTGAGATAGAGTCTCCTATCAGCAATTTGTGTCACCAAGCCATTGAACAGGTGGACCTAATAAAGTGGCCAGTGAGTGTATTGTCTACTTCCTTTGGTTACCATATGGCAATTGGGACCTACAAAAGGAAGTTGAGGTGGGCGGTCTACGTCGATTGCTCAAGCCTGGAAAAAAAGGGGAGCCTTTTTTTTCTCCCAAAACTTGATGGATGTATCTGATGCTCTTAACCCATAAATGTTTCAAAAAGTCCTTCAAGCGAGACAAAGTTTCATATCAGCAATTTGTGTTACCAAGCAATTGAACAGGTGGACCTAATAAAAGTGGCCGGTGAGTGTAATGTCTACTTCTTTTGGTGACCATATAGCAATTTGAACCTACAAAAGGAAGTCGAGGTGGGCGGTCTGGGTCAATTGCTCAAACCTGGAAAAAAGGGGAGGCTTTTTGCCTACCCAAAACTTGATGGATGTATCTGACGCTCTTAAATGTTTCAAAAAGTCCTTCAAGTGAGACAAATTTTCGTATCAGCAATTTGTGTCACCAAGCCATTGAACAGGTGGAGCTAATAAAGTGGCCGGAGAGTGTAATGTCTACTTATTTTGGTTACCATATAGCAATTTGAACCTACAAAAGGAAGTCGAGGTGGGCGGTCTGGGTCAATTGCTCAAACCTGGAAAAAAGGGGAGGCTTTTTGCCTACTCAAAACTTGATGGATGTATCTGACGCTCTTAAATGTTTCAAAAAGTCCTTCAAGTGAGACAAAGTTTCGTATCAGCATTTTGTGACACCAAGCCATTGAACAGGTGGAGCTAATAAAGTGGCCAGTGAGTGTAATGTCTACTTCTTTTGGTTACCATATAGCAATTTGAACCTACAAAAGGAAGTCGAGGTGGGCGGCCTGGGTCAATTGCTCAAACCTGGAAAAAAGGGGAGGCTTTTTCCCTAACCAAAACTTGATGGATGTATCTGATGCTCTTAACCCATAAATGTTTCAAAAAGTCCTTCAAGTGAGACAAAGTTTCGTATCAGCAATTTGTGTCACCAAGCCATTGTTCAAGGTGGACCTAATAAGGTGGTCGGTGAGTGTATAGCAAAATAAATAATGGTGAGATACACATCTAGACTGAGATGATAATGGCAAGCCCAAGGAATTTGTGGCTAGGATGTGCTCCCTTTCAGAAAAGTGGAAATTGAATGTAACATTTCATATTGTTCCCCAAACAATTCTATACTTTTATACTTATCCATGAGGGAGACAATGTCCCATAACACAGTATTTCTCAACCTTTTTTCAGGCACCTAAAAATTATGGACAGTCCTGAGGCACCCTCAGGACTGTCCATAAAATTATGACCAGTCTTGAAGCACCCATTCTAAAATGGGGTGCCTCAAGACTGTCCATAATTTTAAAAGGGCACCCCATTCAAAAATGTGAAAAACTATTCTATAGTTTTATATTACGCAGCAACATCCACACATGTAGGACGTCCAACATTAGAGAAGATTTATTTTTCCAAAGCAAATACACTTTGGCACACCGGTACTGACTAGTATTCCAATGTTTCTGTCGGTTTTTCTCCATCAGTGAGCTAATGTGACCCCAACACTGATGGAGAGGGGCAGGGGAGGGTCAAACTACGATGCTGTGCAGACGACCAGCATCATCCTTATCAACTGATGATGTCATTGGTTGTCAGGTCACCAGTGGCTAGAAAGTCATAATAGCGCACAATGAAAACCTGTATCTTTTTTTGGGCAATTGCAAGTTTTGGACAATTTTTAGACATTCTGCCAAGGCACCCCTGAAAAAAACTCAAGGCACCCTGGTTGAGAAAGTCTGCCCTAACAAACTCCACTACATCTGAATGATGGCACGCCACCACCTACTGGATGGAGGAAAACCTGCATCTGTCTACAAGTCAGTGATGGAGAAAGGTCAGCAGCAGGAAGACAACAGACAATACTGGTGACCCATTCTCTTTCCCTCTTCCTGTCTTTTTCGGGCACCTCTTCCAGAGTTCAGTTCCTCTTCAAGCCTATGTTTTCCTAACCTTTCATGACTTTATGAGTTTTTTTCTATGAAGCCCATCCATAATACTGTCCCATTGTATCCAAGACAGGGGCGGACTGACCATTTGGAAACTGGGGCACTGCCCGAGGGCCGGGGGTCAGTAGGGGGCCCCATGAGATGCCTCTGGTACCTTTTTCATAGGATTTTTTGAGTTTGGGCAAGGACACAGGGGCCCCATGATCCCCTGTTGCCTGGGGGCCCCATGAGTTGTCAGTCCGCCCCTGATCCAAGATGTAGTTAGTAGTCTATTTCTGTAGATGTCTATGTACTGGAACCTTCAAATATTTCTCAGTGATGTATCTTTTATCTTTTATTTTTCAGGATCATACCAATAGATATTTCTGGACCAAACAACTCTGTAGCGTATATGAGAATTTATAAAGATGATGAAGCCTTTACCACCCTGCTCTCAGACAATGACACACTGTATATGAATGATAATGTATACATCTCAGTGGTCATGCCTGAATTGGACGCCAACAATTTTAAGCTCAAGGTGGTGAGAATTTACGTCTCTCCTGGAGAATCAAAGAATCTGCAATACGATTTGCTTGTGAATGGGTAAGTGTACAGAATCCTGAAAAGAACCGGTCATAACAGTTATACATGTAGCACTACCCCCTTAGGAGTCGCTAGAAGATTTGGGTCTCCTTATACTCCTGCACAGCCGGGCATCACGCATGTTCACACAGGCTTGCATCCAGAGCCAGAGATCTGTCCTTGAGCTTTGGTTTTGTTGTTTTATTGAGGGGATTTGAACTGGGATAGGGTGACGGGTGTACAGGATGCCCAAGGGAACCGATAACTGAGGACAACTTCCTGGAACTTTTTACAAGCCTTCTCTGCAGCACAGTCTTTGTTGGAGAGCAAGCCAACGTCTCCTTCGTGTACCGCCCAAGACCGTAGATGAACTTCTCCTCTTCACCCAGCAATCTGGAGGAATCCCTGAACAGGGGATCCGGTTCCTGTCACTTTAAGAGATGAACAGTCACTAGTAGGGGGCTAATCTGGTTTCCCACCAGAGTGCTCCTTCCCCTATCTGCCCAAGGGGTGCAGGGGTACGCACTCAGACCCTCTCCTGTACTGCTTGTGGGTTGGTGGCTGCGACCAGGCCTATCAGCTTTGAGCTTTCCTCCTTTCCAGCTCCAGGCCTGCAGGTGGGTTCCATCCCACTAGGCCCCCTAGCAGCCTTCTTCCTTCAGCCTCACATCTTCCTCTTTATCTTCCACCCAAACTCTCCTGCCACTGACACTTTTAAGGGTGCCCCAGCCCCTTGCCAAGCCTTCTGTTGGGGATTGGCTATGGTCCCTCAAGAGTGCATCCAGCCACTCCTCAGATCCACCGACTGCCTCTAGAGCCTTCCTCCAAAGCTCTAGAACAGGGTGAAATTTCCAGAGGGGCTGGCCTGCAGAGCCTCTCAGCTCCTGACCATGGTTTTACCTTCTGGCTATTACACCCAGGCTGCTACTCAGCCTTCCTCACTACCAATTAAACACTAGCTTCCCCTAGCTAAACTAGGAGGGTGCTACATACACAAGTGGGGGATTTCAAGAAATAATGCGTGAGAGGCATGTGACAACCTCTAAATGTCAATGTTGTCAATGATGGGGGTGGAAACACACAACCTGGCTCCCAGTGATGTCCAATGATATTAAAGTGACCCTGTCAGCATATGTATATTCAATATACCTTCTAAAAGAAGACTGCATACACTTACTTTTTCTGTGGCACGTTTCTTTAAGAGCCGCTTCCTCCATGTGGTCACACACCTTTGGGCATGTGAATACCTGCACCCCCTGCCACTCTCTATGGTTTCTTCCTTTACAGTACGGGTGTCAAACTGGCAGCCCTCCAGCTGTTGCCAAACTACAAGTCCAATGAGACATTGCAAGATTGACAGTTACAAGCATGACTCCCAAAGGCCGAGGCATGATGGGACTTGTAGTTTTGCAACAGCTGGAGGGCCACCAGTTTGACACCCCTGCTCTACAGGATGCATGAATTGGCAGGAGGAACCACGGCAAGTGACAGGGGGGAGGATGTATTCATCTCACCCAACTGGTCAAGTACATCCCAAGGATGGTGAAAGGTGAAATGGAAGTTGGGTTGCTGGAAAGGCAAGCATATGCTCTCTTCTTCTAGCATGTATGTTGTACAGAAAAGTGATCCCGTGCTGCCAAGGTTACTTGAAAATGGTTGTAAACCTCATATGAACAGAGCATATCTCTCTATAGTGTGTACTTGCCTCAATCCAAAGCACCAAGTGTCATTTCTGTCTCCTCTATCTTCCCTCTGCTTTCTGCATTCGTCACTTCTGACAGGTAATCCCAATACCACAGAATCCCCCTCCCCCCTCAACCCAGCACACAGAAGGTGATTGACAGCCTCAGCTGTGCACGTTTCCATATGAGACTGTGTAGAGGTCTGTGTGCTTAGTTTCCACTCAGGTCTCAGATTACACTCAGCTCTCCTCTATGATGTGCAGTTTGCAACATCAGATCTCCACCCCCACCTGCTGGATCTGAGAAATAGCCTTTGATCTGTGTGTTTTAGAAGGCTGGAGAAGAGATAAACAGGTACAACTTATGTAGGAGGATTTGCTTCACCTCTGTTGTTTCACCTGTTGATCCTGCCAGAAATGATTCCTGTGCTCTCTGCCTGTGCTGAATTCTCATCAGTTACATTGTTCTTCCCTATTGCTAGAGTCTTAAAGGGGTAGTTCCCCTTTAAGACTCCCATTGTAAACTCATACAGAATATGGAATTCCCATAGTGTAGTATGTATAGAAAAGGTGTTTATTAAATTACAATTGCACTCACGTTTAGATAAAATTCACAAGCACATACTATAGACAGTGGACTCCCGCATCACTTCCGGGCTCAGCTCTGTCACCCGGCTCCGCCCACACGCGTGTCGTCACATGACATGACTTCCTCAGTCGTTCCATATTCTGTTTGAGTTTACTACAGACTGCACTCCTTAAGGACCATAACCTACGGAGGAACAGATCCCAGATCCAGTAACAGCGGGAGTCCACCAAAAAGATCCCATTTTAAGAGAAAGAGGCATTCATGACCTGCGAGCGGACAGGTCCATTTGTGGAGGTGGGTGCAGTGGTGAACGGTGGTGGACATGGTGAAGATTGAACACAGGAGGTGCTATACAAATAGAAAGTGGAGAAGGTCGCACACGTCTTCGTAGCCAAAAGACTGATATGATATTTGAAGACACCTTTACTTTATTTCATTGTGCTCAATCACAAGGAATTCAAATGATTTTGCATGTGTGTTTTTGATTTATGGTCATCTCTATAAGGTTGAGAAGTGTTATGTATCTGCACATGTATGGGATACACAGCCATGGCCAAAGGTTTTGAGGATGACACAAATATTCATTTATCTGCAAGGAAACCCATGCAGTTGTCATTGCTTTGCACAAAAAGAGATTCACGGACAAGGATATTGCTGCTACTAAGATGGCACCTATTTCAATCATTTCTTCACCACTGTGATTTTTATTTTTTTTGCTATATAAATGAAAAAAGTCTAAAAATTTTGAAAAAGTGTTTTTCTTATAACATTTTGCAAATAAATAATATTTCATTGTAAATCTTGGCCAAAATGTATTCTGTTATCTTTTTAGTAAACAAAATAATAACCCAAATTAGTTTATAACCAAAAATTATAATTTTTAAAAAACATTTTTTACATTTTTATTTTTTTTTTTATATTATTATTTATGTTTTTGTTTATTACATACTGTCACCCTAGCAGTACACTGTACTACTTGTGGGGGGTGATGAAGATTTTTTCTTTTTTTTTACAATGATTGCTTTTACACCCATAAAGGCTGTAAACGCAATCATTTCTCCTTCTCTCTGGCTGCATTCTTGCAGCCATTGAGAAATACTGTGTGAGCTGTGATTGGTCACAGCTTGTCACATGGTACAAAGGCTGTAGTGAATAGCCCTGTACCATGTGACCTCTGTGATCATTCAAAGATTTCACACGTAGGAAGCAATGATGTCAGAAGTGACATCTTGCTTTCTGCAAGTGATCACTAATTGACCAATCAGTGATCACATGATCGGGACATCGCACAGAGGTCCCGTATGACGATCGGTGTTCCACTGTGTCCCAGGGAGCGCACACAAGCAAGGGGTGGGGAGGCCATTTATAAACAGTCACCCGACCCTGCATTGCCACCGTCCAGCCTTTTATATACAACAGTCAGACAGGAAGTGGTTAAGTAGAGAGGTTCAATTGTTGTGAAGAAGGCTTCAGGGTGCCCAAGAAAGTCCAGAAAGCTCCAGGACCGTCTCCTAAAGTTGATTCAGCTGCGGGATTGGGGCACCACCAGTGCAGAGCTTGCTCAGGAATGGTAGCAGGCAGGGGTGGTGCACAGGGAGGAGAAGACTTTTGGAGGATGGCCTGATGTCAAGAAGGGCAGCAAAGAAGTCACTTCTCTCCAGGAAAAACATCAGAGAAGGACTGATATTCTGCAAAAGGTACAGAGATTGGACTGCTGAGGACTGGGGGAAAGTCATCTTCACTGATGAATCCCCTTTCCAATTATTTGGGGCTTCAGGAAAAAGACCTTGTCCGGAGAAGAAAAGGTGAGCGCTACCATCAGTCCTGTGTCCATGCCAGTAAAACATCCTGACACCATTCATGTGTGGCGTTGCTTCTCAGCCAAGGCAGTGGGCTCACTCACAATTCTGCCTAAGAACAAAGCCATGAATAAAGAATGGTTCAAAAACATCCTCCAAGAGCAACTTCTCCCAACCATCCAAGAACAGTTTTTTGAGGAACAATGCCTTTTCAAGCATGATGAAGCACCTTGCCATAAGGCAAAAGTGATAACTAAGTGGCTTGGGGAACAAACATCGAAATTTTGGGTCAATCGCCAGGAAACTCCGCAGACCTTAATCCCATTGAGAACTTGTGGTCCATCCTCAAGAGACGGGTGAACAAAAAAAAAACACCAAACTCCAAGCATTGATCATCCAAGAATGGGCTGCCATCAGTCTGGGTGTGGCCCAAAGGTTGATTGGGAGTATGCCAGGGTGAATTATTTATTTCAGGTACTTATAAAGTGCTGGCAATTTTATGCAGTGCTTTACATATATATTGTACATTCACATCAGTCCCTAACCCTCAAGGGTTGTACAATCTAAGGTCCCTAACTTACATTAATACATATACTAGGGCCAATTTAGACAGGATCCAATTAACCTACCAGCATGTCTTTGGAGTGTGGGAGGAAACTGGAGTACCCAGAGGAAACCCACACAGGCACAGGGAGAACATGCAAACTCCAGGCAGGTGGTGCCATGGCTGGGATTTGAACCAACAATGCTAGTACTACCAGGCAGAAGTGCTAACCATTTAGTTACCATACTGCCCATTGCAGAGGTCTTGAAAAAGAAGGGTCAACACTGCAAATATTAACTCTTTGCATAAACTTCATGTCATTGTTAAAAAAAAGCCTTTGACACTTATGCAATTCTTGTCATTATACTTCAATATACCAGAGTAACATCTGACAAAAAGATCGAAAAACACTGAATCAGCAGACGTTGTGAAAATTAATATTTGTGTCATTCTCAAAACTTCTGGCCGGAGCGGAAGGCATATATTGATTAGAAGGGAGGCACAGCATCACTTTGTTGGTATATTTATTCCTGTCCCTTGGTGAGAATGCTGCTTCTCCAGAGGTACAGCGGGGTTAGTGAGCGTTGTCACCCACGATGAACTGGCTGAAATTCGCTTTATGGGTCATAAAATGTGGAAATTTGCAGCTAAACGACATTTAAGTCCCGATGGGTACATAATGGGTACATGCTGTGCACTGTACTATACCACAATATTATGTATCAGTTTCATTTCCTGAATTGTGATATAGCCGGGAGGAACTAAACCTCGATCGTTTCTCTGTCCAGGTGTCCAGCTGGCGGTTTACTAGCTGACCTACTAACCATCATCAGCAATGGAGTCTACACTGAATCTCGGTTTGTTATGAAGTTCTTCCACATTTCTGGATATGACAGTATCGTTCTTTCTGCTGATGTCCTACTCTGCGTAGATAATTGTGTCCCGGTAAGACTGGAAGATGTTCCGTGATGCCGTAAAAAAAAAAATGTGCAGAATTTTATTGTTTTAAAAAAGAGAATCAGTCGGGAGCAGGGGTGGACTGACCATTTGTGTACTTGGGCTCTGCCCGAGGGCCCGGGGACAGTAGGGGATCCCCATGAGATGCCCCTGGTACCTTTTGAGGGGTGGACTGACCATTTGGGAACTTGGGCTCTGCCCGAGGACCCGGGGTCAGTAGGGGGCCCCATGAGATGCCCCTGGTACCTTTCATAGGCTTTTTTGGGTGTGGTTTGACTGTGGGCGAGGACACAGGGGCCCCATAATCCCCTATTGCCCCGGGGGCCCCATGAGGTGTCAGTCCGCCCCTGGTCGGGAGACATGAATTTTTATTGCTGACTTGTTCTTCACCACTTGAGTACCAGCCTGTAATTCCCCTTCATTACCCAGATACTTTTCAGTTGTCAGTACTGTGATAGTTTGACCGACGGTTACTCATTCATCCAATGCTGTACCCAAATGAGTTTTATATCATTTTTTGAGACAGAGAGCTTTTTTTAGTGGTATTTAATAACCCCCCCCCCTTTTTTTTGTTTTTTTTATGTATCCTTTAACCCCCCTGGCGGTATTCCCGATTGTAGCTCGGGGTTAATTATCAGTGCGAAAAGCGGTAACCCCGAGCTACACTCGGGAATACCCTGCAGCGTTGCTCTGTGATCCCTGTTTCACTTACCTTGTCCTTCGTTCCCGCGATGTCCCCCCTGCAGTGTCCCCGGCCATCTCCCCTGACCGATGCCGGCATCCATCTTCCGGGTTCTGTTCCCTGCGACGTCGGGACGTACGGGGGCCGGAACTGGCGGGAAATGTAAAAATTTTAAACAGTGACATTCACAAAATACACTAAAATCACACAGTATAACATTCCTGTATCAAACCATTTCACATACATTTTGTCTCGAGTGCTTTGTCCGGCGCCCTGCCTGCATTGTTACCGCCCTTTCTGCCTGGAAACTGAGAAACGTCCATGGCGTCCAAAAAGCGTCCCTTTAGGTCAGACGCGGTTTTAGACCGGCTAGAGAACAGCGATAGTAAATCAGAACCACTTGCAGAATTGAGTGATAATGATTGGTGGGGGAAATTCCTCATCAGACACTGAAAACGATTCTGCGACTGAGCTCAGCGATGTGAGAACTTGGCGCTATATTTCACATTTCAGTGTTTTTGGTTTGATTATATTATTGAATTAAATGTATTATTATTATATTATTATTTTTTATGATTATTTATTATATTATAATTTATGATTTCGTGTTTCAAATTTTATCATCCCGGGATGTTTACTAGACTCTTGTTCGGACAGATTTCAGTGAGTTATTCCTAAATATTACAGGCCTACAATAAAAAAAAAAACATATTTCCACGCAAAAAAAGTACCGCTTTGAGCACAGAAATATTGACATAATCATACCGCTAGGGAGGTTAAGAAATGGAATACGTCTAGTCCACCTCCTGCACCTCATAATAAAGGGCTATTTGGTCTTTAAATGATAGTAAAGCTTATTATTAATATACTTTTTTTCAGATCAGAATTTATGACCGATGACCGGTTTTGGAGAGCCGAGTTAGTTATGAAGAGGGCACTTTCCGGTCAGATAAAGCCAGACTCCAAATGTGGATTGAGTCTAACTGGCTTTACCATGGCTGGTTGCAGCTGTTACAGAAACACCCCAATAGAGAATGTTTTTACAATGTTTTTCTGGCTTTTTTGGTTATCAGTGTTCAGCTTGACAGACTTTGCAGAGTAATGCTTATGATAGCCATTGGCAATGACGGCTTCTAACTATGCGGTGCAGACCGGCTAAACCACATTGACATAACCCTCTGCCCTTCTCAAGCCGGCTCAATGGAATTTATGATACTACAAGAATGTATTATCTTCTGCTAAAAAAAAAAAACTTGAATGGAATTTATCATAACCTGTGTGCGTGTGAAACTGAACTATTCAGTCTTGTGATTTAGTCTCTGAATTATGAACTTTGAAAAAGTTGAAAGGTGAACACCTTGTTCATTAGGACTCCCAATCAGTTTAGAGTTTCTCTGAATTCTCACAGACACAATGAAGGGAGCACCTTATTATTATTATTATACAGGATTTATGGCGCCAACAGTTTGCGCAGCGCTTTACAATATAAGGGAGACAGTACAATTACAATACTTTCAGTACAGAAGGAATAGGAGGGCCCGGCTCGAGGAGCTTACAATCTAAAGGAAGGGGGAGGTAATACAAAAGGTGATAGCTACGGGGGATGATCTGGTGGAGGTGATTCAAGTACAGTTCTTAGGTGGGGGTGGGGTAGGCTTCCCTGAAGAAGTGAGTTTTCAAAGATCGCCTAAAGGCAGACAGGGAGGGGGCTGACCGGACATGCTGTGGTAGGGAGTTCCAGAGGATGAGAGAGTCTCTGGAGAAGTCCTGGAGGTGAGCGTGGGAGGAGGTGATGAGGGAGCTAGAGAGGAAGATATCTTGGGAGGAGCGGAGTGGGCGATTTGGACGGTATCTGTGGATGAGGTTGGTGATGTAGCTAGGGGCAGTGTTGTGGATGGCTTTGTAAGCTGTGGTTAGTATTTTGAATTTTGTACATTGGGTTAGTGCAGTGTTTCTCAACTTCAGTCCTCATGGACCCCCAACAGGTCATGTTTTCAGGATTTCCATTATTTTGCACAGGTGATTTGATCAGTTTCACTGCCTTAGTAATTACCGCAGCTGTTTCATCTGAGGGAAATCCTGAAAACATGACCTGTTGGGGGTCCATGAGGACTGGAGTTGAGAAACACTGGGTTAGTGGAAGCCAGTAAAGGGATAAAGGGGCAGCAGTCGCTGATCGGTTGGTAAGGTGTGTATGAGTCTAGCAGCAGCATTCATAATAGACTGAAGGGGGGATAGCCAGTGTAACGGTAGACCAGTGAGGAGGGAGTTTCAGTAATCGAGTGCATGCTTTGGGGTCGTTATTGTCTAGTTCAGGGGGTCGGTCTTGGAGATCAGAAGCTCTAGCAGTAGAGAGGCTCCCACTGACCAGAAGGAAACGTACATGCAGAGGCGTTCCTAGGGTTGGTGTCACCCGGTGCGGTAACACGTGGTGTCACCCCTCCAGAGAGGAAGGAGCGGTGTCGGTTTGTAGCGGTAAAATGAGTATCCCTTGAAGATATGTATCCCCTGAAGCAACTGCGCATGTGCCGGTTTCAGGCCGAAGAAGCCGATCTCCGACTTTAGCACAGAGCCGGCGATCGGCTTCTTCGGCCTGAAACCGGCACATGCGCAGTTGCTTCAGGGGATACTCATTTTATTGCTACACTGGGGTGAGGGCAGCTGTCACTGTGCCGGCATCCTGCTCCTGCACCCCCTGTGATGGTGTCACCCGGTGAGGCCCACACACCCCTAGGGATGCCACTGCGTACATGATCAGGCCAACCTGGCACATGATGTGGGTTCACCCAAGGTGCGGTGCCTAAGCAGTAACGGATATTCACCAGAGCTCCTGATGGTGGAGATGGGTTTTGCTGCATGTTAGTACCAGGTCACGGTCCTCAGGATGGCCCCACCAGGAGGTGAGCAAGCTGGGGTCCAGTAGTAGATATTGCAAGTAGAGAGAAGCAGGAGCGTAGTCAGTAAACGAGCCAAAGGTTGCCAGAAAGTGGTTGTAGGTTGGGATCAAGTGGAAGTGTAGTCAAGGAACCAGCCAAAGACTGATAACGAGTGATAGTTGAGATAAATACAGCTGCAGGTATGGAAGGAGTAAGATATCAGCCAGAGAAAGAGCACAATAATCTGTTGAACAGGAAGTGCAAAGGCATGGCTTAAATAGGAAGTTCATGGAGGACCAAGGAGTTAAAATTACACCAGAAACAAGGTACAAGATGATATTATCCAATGAATCAGACAGGACACTGTCCAGCATCTCAGGTGACTCATCAAGAAGAGCTGCTGCCAGATGCAGCAGAGGTCATGGGTTCAGATCTTGGACCTGCCCATTATCCTCATTGCTTTAATGCCAAGTTAGCCACTGACTCAAATAAAGTGTGTAGCCAGTGAAGTCATAACTCAACCTGCATACTTGATGATGGGTCAGTGACTGCCCAGGTGGTGAAGCCACAGCTTGCATCTCAAAAACAAGGCACAGTACCCAAATTTCTGTAGTTGGTACTTACCGATCCACACAACCTGCTGACCATCACTAATCTGAACCTCTACTATTTGAACAACAGGGTAGAGAATGTGACAGAGGTTCCAACCCTTTCTTGCTCTACCATTAAACTACAAAATAAAGATTTGGATGGAGTTATACTTGAACTGACATCTAGTTTATAAAGAAGGAATACCACTGACCAACGAATCTATGATTCTTCAGGCACTTGTGAGACACCTGTGATGTGTCATGAGTTCAGGTCATAAATAGGTCCTTTGCAATGAGCCGCAATTACTCCGCTACACCCGCTTGACCAATGTATGCAGACTCCTAAACAGTAAGTTATCCTTTAATATAAACAAACAAGGATGCAGCCACCAGGGGTGGACTGACAACTCATGGGGCCCCCGGGCAATAGGGGATCATGGGGCCTCTGTGTCCTCGCCCACATTCAAACCACACTAAAAAAAGCCTATGAAAGGTACCAGGGGCATCTCATGGGGCCCCCTACGGACCCTGGGCCCTCAGGCAGTGCCCAAGCGCCGAATGGTCAGTCCGCCCCTGGGAGCCACTCAACTTCAAAGAGTCCAAGATGCATTTATTAGTATCACTCGATACAAAGAAAACCCACCTGATCTTCCCATGAGTTGCACTCTGTCAGGGACCATCGCGACGCATGGGTCTGCACATGCGTAGGTGTCTGTCAAGACATGCAGACAGCAGGGCACTAGGACCCAGGCGCACCCGTCGCCTCTGACGGTGCTGCGCAGGCACTAGGACCTAGGCTGCACCTGTCACGTGCAGGGCGGGCTACTTAAACCAGCCCTGCACAGACACAAGTTGCCATATGGTCTGATCTGATTCCTGTGTTCCTGTATTCTGTTGCTGAAGATTCGTTGCTGACCTGCCTGGACCTGACCTCTGCTGACTTCTCCTGCTCTGACCCCTGGCTAAGTTTGACCTCTCTTTGGATATCCCTACCTGATCTGAACTACTGGTACCGACCCCGGTGAGTGACCTGACTATTCTTCTGCCTGCTGCCTTGTACTACGCTGACCTCTCTGTTACCGACCTGGCCCGTCTGACCACGCTCATCCGTCCATCCATCCGGCACAGATCCAGCCATCCCTGCTTCCGCCTTCGGCCTCTTCACCTCAGGCTCTCCACCTG